ATGACCCCATCCTCATGAAGGACGTGTGAAAGCAGACACAGAGACCACAGCCCACCAATCTTATGAGTGCGGGAAAGGGACCCGGAGGCCACGCTGGGAGTCAGGCATTTGAGAGGTTCTTGGAAGGAAGCCTGGGAGAAGCACAGACCTCCAGAGAGGGGGCAAAAGATGGAGGTGAGGGGGAGAGCCGGGTGTGGGGCAGGCCGGCCCCCTCCCTTGGAAGACGCCAGCCCACGCCTCTGTCCCATCCTGGAGATGGCAGAAGAGTGAGTACCCAACTCTTAATGAAGACCTTCACCGAGACCCTGGTCTGGGTTCACAACGCAGTCCAGAACTGCAAAGAGAACACACAGGACCTCCGGGGGGATGAGGGGCGGGGGTCACGGTGAGTTTTTGTCATAGGAAAGGTACAGAGTTCTGGGGTGTTCAGGAGATTTCCTTCCTTTCCAAGGTCTCCTGTTGACCTGACTTTGTTAGCGTTGCTGAACCGTGAGCTGAGGTGTTTGTAGGTGGGGGAGTGTTTGGAGAGTCCATGGAGACAGACAGACAGACAGACAGGGAGGCAGGTGACACCGAGTGCTGGTATTCATCTGGCTGGAGCTGGTTTGTCCTACTCCTGCTCACCACAGCTTTGTTTTGTCTGGACTCCTTCACCCTGACGGGAATTTCTGGGGGCTGACGTGTTGTGGTTCCTGGCACAGGGGCCGTACCCCTGCCCTGCTCCCCCCCCCCCAGGTTCAGGGAGCGGCACCCGGGAGGCAGTGGGGTAAGGACCAGAGCTCTCTGGGCTCTGTCCTGGCCTCTGACGTCAGCTGAGAAGTGAGCGGATGAACCCCCTCCCAGTAAGCCCACCGTGGTGAGGTGGCCTGGGTCTCAAAACCAGGTCGTGCAGCTAAGTGTCAGGCTGTGGCCAATCCGCCAGGGTGTCTGCATGACTCTCCCTCAGCGCCGCCCTTTGTCACCCTCCAAGAGCAGGGCAGTGCAGGCCACACGGGGATTCATCAGGATCAGGCTGGACAAAGCCCCTGGAGGCCAGACCTAGAGAGCAGTTTCCCAGGGAGCTGCACTTTTGGCTACAGCATCGGTGGCCTGTGGCCAAGTGGAGGGTCGTCAGGAAGGAGGGGGCTGAATGGCGGGCCTCTGCGGAGCCACTTCTGCCGAGGAGTATCCAGACCCTTCACCCAGGGAGGGGGACGCAGGTGGAGGCCCTTCCCCCACTCGGATCTTGAATTCGTCCCTGTGGCAGCTACAGGCTTTGCACTTAGAAGTTTTTTCCAGCCCAAAGTACTGACACACAAACAATGTGTGTGTGAGAAACCCCCAAACCCATCACTCCGACGGGAGACCCTCCCTCGGCCGGATGTTTCTGGAGCACTGGGGGGTGGGCAGAGCGGTGGCCAGGCCCGGGCTGGGCAGGGCAGGCAGGGGCCTCGGAGCTGCTCCCAGGACGGGGGGCGACGGCAGGAGGCGCTGGTGGGTCACCTCGTGTGGGACCGGCCTGAAGACGGCCGCGCTGGCCCTGGTGGCGGGGACTGCACCGGGGTGCAGATGATGGACAGCAGCCAGGACACAGGCGCAGAGGCTGCGGCGACGTGACGCGGAGGCCGGGCCGTCCCACGGGGCAGACCAGGAAGAGAGAGGCATGGGGACCGTCGGGGGACGGGGCGCCGTCACAGCTGGGGGCCTGTGCTGGGCCGGGAGAGGCCGGGACCTCGCGGCGCAGCTCGCTTCTCCTCCCCGGGACGGGGCCACGGAGGGCGCCTCCCTCGGGGACGGAGCGAGGGTCGAGGGGGGTGTCACACTAGAGTGCTCATTCGTGCGCTCGACATGCGACAGATACTACGGAAGGCTGAGGCAAGTGCTGCCCACCCAGCGCACGTTAGTGTCGCCACAGAGGGCAGAGGAAGGCTGGGCGGGGCGGGTACAGCCCACGCCCCTGTGGGGAGGAGCCAACCGGAGGGGGCGGTCCCAGGGGAGGAGCCAACCGGAGGGGGCGGTACCAGGGGAGGGGCCACCAGGAGGGAAGGTCCCAGGGGAGGGGCCAACAGGAGGGGCGGTGCCAGGGGAGGGTCCGCCCAGTCCAGCCACCCCGGGCCCAGCCAGGCAGTCTCTTGCCGCCCACGCTCGGGTGGCCCAGGTCTCCCTCCAGCTCAGAGCCGCAGAGCAGAGGTGCGGGTGGTCCCTGCGCTCCGCTCGGCCCTTCCCTCTGGCTCAGGCTTTTCTCCTCACTGAGCGCCCGGGTCGAAGGCTGCCCGTCCCTGGTCCCTCCTTCTCTGACCTCTTCCTCCTCACCTGTCTCTGTCTTTCCGGGGAGTGGCCTGCCTTGTACTACATCGGTCTGTGGCTGTACCTTATTTCCCTAATGGAGCATGAAGTCCTGGAAGCGGGGACCATAGTTTGTCCATCTTTGCCTTCTTCAAAGAACCAGGCCAGCGGGTGTCCGATGATGGGTTATTGAAAGTAACAGTAAAGGGCTACTGAACATCCTCTTGAGGTTTGGAGAGCCACCAAGTGTCCTGGTGAATCAGCGAGAACGTGTGCTTGGTGGCTTAGGGCTTTGGAATAAGCTGCCCCCAGATCTCAGAATCCCACAGAATCCTGCAGAATCCCCCTTGCTGGCTTGTGATTTCATAAAAAACTACATTAAGTTTTCTGTCTCAATTTCTTCTCTGTTAAATGCTGTTAAATATAATTTATAGGAGGCCTTTGGTTTGGACTGAGCTCCTGTCACTCACTGAAGGTCCAGCCACCAAGCCGAAACTAAGACGTTTAGCCTACTTGCCAAGAAATCAGGGGAGGGAGACAGATGACAGGGCAGGTTACGCTGGGATAGTAAGGAAGTCCCCTCTGCTTCAGCCTTTACAAAGAAAGTAATTTTGAAACCACTGTATGCTGTCTGTCCCCTGCTTCCGTTTAGCCCTTTTCTGTCTGTGACGCTGGCCTCCTCTGCTCTGCTCATCTATGTCATAGAATGCGACGTGGCCTACTTCCAGAATTGCAAATTGAAGCCCATTAGATCTCTAAACTCAATTTCTTGTACTTTTGTCTTTTGACAATGATTTTGGGAATATCTCCTCACACAGGGGGACCCATGTGCTCGATGAGGTGGTGCAGGGCTTGCTGCTACAGCCACAGCTAGTGTCATCTGCAAGCCAGGCAGGTGGTGAGGTTGAGTGGGGCCAACCATGCCAGCAGCTCACATCCAGCGGCTGACCTTCCATGGCGCAGGTGTCCGCCTCAGCCACAGGACGGCGGCAGGTTCCTGGAGCCCCGGTTAGGGCTGGTTAAATCCAGCCCCAGGGGGAGTGGCGTGACGGTTATTGTATGTGTCCATGTGGCTAGGCTACGTGATGGCCAAGCACCACACTGGAGGTGGCTGTGAAGGCACTTTTAGCAGTGATAAACATTTAAATCTGTAGACTTTGAGTAAAGCAGATGACCCTCCATAATGTGGTGGGCCTCATCCAATCAGTTGAAGGCTGGAAGGGCAGACTGAGGTTTCCCCCAAAAGAAGGAATTCTGCCTCAAGACAGCAACACAGGAGCCCTGCCTGAGTCTGCGCCTGCGGCCCTGTGGACTTCAGAGTCAAGATGGCAACATCACCTCCCCCTGAGGTTCCTGCCTGCACGCCTGGGCTACTCTACAGATTTTGGGTTTACAGGCCCCACAATCATGTCAGCTAAATCCTAAAAACAAACCCTCCCTTCTTTCTATATGTCCCATTGGCGCTGCTGTTCTGGAGAACCCCGACCAATACAAGTTGGGATCACAGGGTCGGGGCTGCCTCCTTTTAATTAAACGACGCCTAAAGCCACCATCACCAGTCCCCAGCCATCCGCCCTGCAGCCTCCTCCTTTCTCCTAGAACAGTTCCAGCTGTTTCTACAACATTCTAGAGCCCCAGTTCTCCCTCTTGGATACTGTTTTCCATGTCTTTGTGCCAGAGCCCCATCTCAGAAGCAAACCGTGTAAGAATCATAAAGCAGTTCGGAAGCACATTATACATTATAAAATTTATTATAAAATTTCAGCAAATATAAATATCCAGGTGCCCAGTCGGAGTGGAGCCACAGCGTGGGAGGAAAAGAGACAACAGCCCACTAATGGCGATGACGGGAAGGACGCTGGAGGCCCGCCGTGCAGCTCCCCTTCCAACGTCTTGCCTTCCTTCTCAGCTGGTGTCATGGAAACAACTAGACTTCATAGAGAAACATTAAAACCCCACAACACACAAACACGAAACAGTTCTAAGGTTATCATCCCATCGGCTGCTTGTAGTAGGACAGCAGGGTTTGGCGTAACCGGTACTTCTGATGTGTCATTTGAAAAAGAGAAATTTTAAGAAATGGGTTTAAATAGGAACACTCACTTGTAAATAACTGAGAAAGATAAAACATAAAATACAAGAAGTCTGTTCTCCAGCGCATGAGTCTGAAGGGGACAGAAGCACCTTATCAGGGATTTAATTGTTTCCATGTCCATATTCAAAGTCCCAAATCAGAATACAGAGTCCCCTGGCTGTCACCCCTTAGAGATGGCACTGGCTGTTGTGGTGGCGACGACGGCAGGAGGAGCCTGGAGCAGAGCCCTGGCTGGAGCCTCCCAGCACCTGCCCCCCACGCAGAAAGGGGGGTCACTCCTGACACAGGAGGGGTCTCGGAGGTGGAGGGGAGGCTGGTGGACGGGCGGCAGATATTTGGTGTGCTTTCCTTATCCCACGGCCTTTCCTTCTTTTCACAAAGCGCTGGGTGTCTCCGTTAGTCTGACTGGCTTTGCTGCAGCACAGACCCAGCGGTGCTGCCTCCCCTGCTCTGCAGAGCGCCCCCTGCCCGGCGTGCTGTGGCTCTGCCCACCCGGCCACGGTCCAGCCTCACAGAGAGCACGGGTGACACACCCAGGCACATACTCCAGGTCAAATGGCCTAACACAGTTTTTCTTCTTCCATCTTCCACCTCGGTCTTGTCCCAATGCTGGCTGCACGGCTCTTTGCTCTTTCATTTTCCTGCCATGTGGGCATCCTCTCTGCCAGGAAAGTGGTCCCCTCTCACAGGTTGGACTGGGAGCACGTCTTGCAGCACTGCTTGCCGTAGAACTTGTGGCTGCACATGCCGTGCGGGGGCACCAGGTAGCACCAGTGGAAGTAGTCTTTGCAGAAGGCATCTGAAAAGGAGCAAACTCTGCATTAGTCGGTGTCCCCGAGCACGGTGTGGGACACTGCCAGATAATAACTGGCAAATAAAAGCAAACCTGTCATTGCCGTGGAGCTGCTGAAGGAGGCCAGCTCTCAGTCCTTCACTCTTTTCACAAGACCCTTCTTGGAAGGCTCCTGCGAAACTGAAGTTTCCTTCTTATGTTAAACCCACCCACCCCACCACTCATCCACACAAGACCACAGATGCTCTGTCGACTGAATTTCTGTTGTCAGTTCTATGGTTGAGCCAAACCCCTTGCTGCCTGCCAGCCACTCTTCTCTCAGCGCAGCCTCAGCAGGATGGCCGTCGACTGCAAACACTGGAAGCATTTTCAAGTGCATGGGGATGGCATTTGGAGAACACCCAATGAATAATGTAGGCTTTCATTTAACTTAGGGGAAAAGGCTGCTTTAGTTAAAATTGCCTTCTTTAAATATAGCAAATAGCCTTGAAATGGAAGGAAATCACGCTTTCTAAAGCTAGACTTATGTCACAACCATCTGTGCCGTTTCTGGTAGTGGTGAGAGACGGCAGGGCTTTGCTCCGTGAGCATTTCATTGTAAAACTGGAGGAGGAGATGAAAAGAGAGAGAAGGTGCGGTGGGCACAGGCCCGCAGCCACCCCACTTCCTCAGGCCCTCTAAGGAACTGCTCCAGGAACTCGAGGCTCCCACCCCAAGCGCCCGGGTCAAGCCCAGGCCTCCGGGCACTCACCGTTTCTCTCTGCGATGGGGCAGAAGTGAGTGCTGCAGGCCAGGGAGGCTGCGGGCTTCAGGTGTGGGAAGCAGCCTGAGGCCGGCCGGCCCGCGGCCAGGCACTGCACCGATCTGGTCTGGACGCCGCCGCCACAGCTGGCTGTGCACTGCGGGAGCAACACACAGCGTCACCACACTGCCAGCTCAGCTGCACGGTCAGCTATCAGTGTGCTGGCCTGCCAGGGCCAACTGCTGCAGACCAGCGGAAGAGGGACGTCTTGAATGAGGAGAGGCTGGCAAAGGCTGGTGGAATTAGGCTGGCACAATGATGGCCAGAGCAGTCCTGGCTCACCTTATACACCAGGACCAGGGCAAAGGTGCCCACTTACCTGTGCTGAGTTCTTCCCTTGCTGCTGGTGTGGCAACCCCTCAGTTCCTCTCCCTCCCCGGTTTCAAGTGTCCCCTCCACCCAGGCTCTTCCAGGTGGTCTCTCTCTGGATTGTGGGTGGCTGGCCACATTCTGGACTAACCCCAGGGACAGAAAGAGGGGAGAAGTGCTGGAAGTCTAGAACATTCCCAAGTGAGTCATTGATGGTCTGATGGACACAGGGAAATGGGTGCAGATCTGGGTGTACCAGGGCTGTTCTCTGAGCCTAGCACGAAGAAACAGTACCCTCAGGGAAGGCCCCCACCAAGCCCACCTTGCTGGTGGTCCTGACTGTGAAAAGCTTGTTGAGCTGACCCCTGTAGAGGCAATCCCCAAACTAAGCCCTTTCTAGGCCCCAAGTTCAGGGCTGTCTAGTCCTGGAGGCACCAGCTGACCTGGCTGCTGTTGTTACGGCTTTTGCATCCAATTGTGGGCATCGTTTTCTGACACTGAGGTCCCCAGAACTCTGAGCAGCAACAGCACAGGAGAGACAGAGGAGGGAGTAAGGGCCATTAGACTGGCTTTCACTAGCTGGCTAGGCATGCACACCACAAAGTATGAGGAGGACCCATCTGAGACCAGCTATGGATGAAGGACTCACGGATGAGCAACTAGAAAAACAGAGGAACTTGAACCTGCAGCGATTAATCCATCTGAAAAAGAGAACTACCTGCAGCCTAAAGTGTGCTCAAACAGGGCTACTGGTCAAAAATGTTAAGAATGTAATCAATTGAACAATCACCTGCAAGAAGATGGGCTCAGATAATATTTTGGAAGTCCTGATGGGTGGTGAATAAACTAAACAGTTGCTTTAAAATGAGAGAATAAAGCTGTGAAAAACTGGGGACATGCATAACCCAGGTTGCTGGAAACCCGTTCCAGAGAGTTACAGCGGTCGGCCTGGGGCTGGCTGTCCCCAGTCCAAATCAGCCTGCTTGTGAACAGATGCCGTGCTCCTCCTCGTTGCTTCCAGGACCTGCTGCAACCAGAGCTTTGCAAAGTCACTTAAATCCCCTGGGACAGGGACTCTGCAATGGAACAAGTAAAACACCTCAAGAGGAGAGAGGTTGGAAATAAAGAGGGTCCTGAAAGTCACAAGCAGAAGGAACTGCTCATTCTCTGCATGTTTTCCTCCTGGGGTAAAGGATGGCTGGGCCCCCAAGCATGTATCTGGAGTGTTTCTGGGAGGCTTACCCCCTTCGCTTCAAAATCAATTTCAGCAAAAGTCACCGGTAATTCAGTTTCCATGTATGACTATGGCAACCAGAAAAAAATAACGTTGTGGCAGATTCCTGTCTGATTTCTGAATTATCAGGGTCAAGCATGATTGAGCCAGATGTTTCCCTTGGCATATGACATCTTCCTGCACACTCGACAGAGCCACAGTTCTGGCCCCTGACCTTTGCACCCTGCATGTCGGACGCCCTCTCTGTGTGCTGAGAACCCCAGGGCCGTGGGCTTGGTGCTGAGACCGCGGTTCACGGCATCTTGTTGGTCACATCCACACCCATGGGTGTCCACAACCCGAGGTGTGTCCCTTGGGTTGAATTTCTTTCATAATCAGCAGTTGGGAGAATTACATTCTTGCTAAGAATATTAGGCCTCAATTAGAAATTGAAAGATCACGTCGCTGTTTTCCATCAGTTCCAAAATAATTAATATGTGGTTCGATTCATTTTTGTTATTGATTCAGTTATTCAAAAAATATTAATCACTCACCTCCTTTTACCAGGCAGTGCTCTAGGCACTGGATAATTGATGATGAACAAGACTGAGGTGGCCCCTGGCTGCGGGGTGGTCACAAAAGCTCGCTGCTCAGGTGCGGTGTGTCAGCTGGGCGCTTGTTGCAATGATGACCCAGGCTTCCTGCCTCCCTGAGACTCACTGTATCAGAATCAGCACCATCCCCAAGCTAAGTAGGAGAAGCACTGATGTTGAGAGTTTTAAAATTCTCCACCAAAAAAAATTTGTGGGGAAAAAAGCTTATAAATGACTCAAAATTTGTATTTCTTCATGTACACTGAAAGAACTAAAATGTTCAGTTGCAAAATTTGAAATACTTTGCATTGATAAAGATGGTGATATGCCAGGAGATGAGAGGAAAATCAAAAATCTGAAAAGATTTATTTACTTTTCCTTCCAAAAAGGAAAAAAATGCAAATTGTTCATCAATATCACAAACTCAATGGCTTAAAACTCGGCACGGGTGTTTAGAATTCATATTCTAGATTTTCCACTGGGTCTGTGATTTCCAGACAGACCAGTCCTGAGAATCACCTGGAGCCCTTGACAGCCATGCAGACTCCTGGGTGGTGACAGAGGGGCCAGGAGGCTGCAGTGGTGGACAAGTCACATGACACAAAACCTTTGGGGAAAAGACTACTAGTGAAAAGAGAGTCTGGAACTTGGATCTGGAGGCCAAAGCTTATGGTGTCTTCTCCAGCTTCCCAGATTTAACCTGAGCATCCTACTGATGGCACAGGCAGAGGAGGCCACCCTATGGCACAGTGGTGGTAACTGGTACCTGCACCTGCTCAGCCGACTTTCACACTGCAGCAACTGTCATGGCCATCTGTTCAAACCCCCTTGATGCTGGCTCCACCCTCAGATTAGCGGTTCTCAAATTTGCATGTGCAGTAAAATCACCTGGAGGACTTTGACAACAGACTGCTGGGCTCCACCCTAAAAGCTCAAGCTTGAGCAGGTCTGGGTGGAAACTGGGGACCTGCACTTCCCACCACGATGCTGCTGTTGCTGCAGGTCAGGGCTCCTCTAGGAGGACCACTGCCCTAGGTATTCAGAATTACACCGTCAATTCCTTTCCTTTTTTTTTTAAATTAAATTTTCAGAACTGACTTCAGACACATCTAAAGCTCACAGAAGTGATGCACGGAGCCAACATGTGGCAAGTCCCCTTGTAAAGAGACCAAAACTCTTTCCCAGGTGCAGCTTTTGCAGACATGGAAGAACCTCAGTCTGGACGGATGACCCCTGCCCCCAGCGCACCCTGTACAGCCTCAAAGAAGACCCCGTGACCACTCTACTCTAAATGAGTAGATCCCCTTCTCCCCGCTGCATGGTCACAGCAGTTCTTTCACATTTGTCTTTAAGGTCTGCCTCTCCTCCTCCCCAGGGGCAAGGATGGGCCTGTCTGATGGGTGACCCTTGACAGGCACTCTGTAGCTGGTGGCTCAGATGACTGGGAGAAAGCGCAAAATGAATAGCAGGGATGTCCCCAGGCTCTCACCCACCATCCTTGGGCAGGTCCTGGGACCTTCCAGTGCCTTAGAAAGCCCCTTTCACTGTGCCTCCCTTGCTGGTGGACTCCACACTGCATGGCTCCTTAAACTGGCATCTGAAGCCACTCCCACGTGAGCCTAGGGGTTCTTGCCAGTGGAGAAATTAACTGTGGAAAGAGTCATTGCCGTATGCAGAGGGATGGTCCTCCCGAGGGGCAGGAATCAGGGTCTTTTTGCCACTCTAGGAATCAGTGACCTCCCTGAGGATGACAGCACCTCCCTGCTCCCCTGGGAGACCACCTTGGGGGCATCACGCTGGGAGAGAGCCTCTGCAGATAGCCAAGTTCCAGGTCCCCTTCCCGAGAGACAAATCTAAGACATCTACTATGCACAAACTTTCCAGAAGGCTGAAGTGCTGAAAAACCTCTCCCTTCTGAATGCTTCTGTATGCTCCTGCTAAGGAAGGATCACCATGTATTTGGAGAGGTCAGCCACTCACATGCAGGGGACACGACACAAACACTGTAGATGAACAGGAAAACAGACAACTGTTCTTAATCATTAGTAAAAAACCCAAAGAGATGCATTTCTAAATAACGTTTGCCGTTAGGTTTTTTGTTTGTTTTAAGTTAGAGTGATTCCTCTTTTTTACGTCTGCCATCGGTCTTTGTGGAAAATGCTAGTGCAAGGTGAAGGCTGCACTAGTGGTGACTGATGTTTTGGTTGGTCTCTTTCTACCACATTCACAGGAACCATTCAAACCTTGGGGCTTCCTGGAGGGCAGAGTTTTTCTCCCAAAGGCAGGGAAAAATGAGGAAACAAATACACTCGAACTCCTGAGGGCCAAAGTTTTCACACTGCCACTTCCCTGCTGTGACGTCTCTGCTGAGTGGCCCCCATCAGGCTCCTCTCTGTCTATCGTCTTCCTGGGGCCTCGGTGCCTGCCGTCTCTGCGAGTCCAGAGCTTCTGCCCACTGTACTGTTCCCACTGTCCCAGAGAACGAATGTCTACTGAGCTCAGGATGGGACTGCACAAACTCCAAGGGCCTTACCCATGACAACCTCTTCTGCAAACATAAACAGAGAGGCGAATTCTTCTATGAATTCAGTTGCTTACAAATACAGACTCCCTCAAACCCAAGAGGTGTGCATGGCCACCTTATCCGTCAATAGCAGCAAGCCGGGTCTTGTCATTTTGTGCAGCACTCACAGTTTTGGAAGATGATAGGAGCAGATTCAGCATCACATGCCTGGAGGTGGACACCTGGATGTAAGAGTGAGGGGCAGCCCTCGGCGGGCCACACAGCATCCATGCAGTCCACGTCTGGTGAAGTCTCCAAGCATTGCATGTGTCCTGTGCATGTGTGCACGTGCATGCATGGGGTATGGCACTGCAGTATTAACCGCCACGTTGGAAACACAGATAGATCAACGTGACACAGCTGCTGGCCCCTCGGAGCCTGTGGATTTCCAGTCAATTGTGCACGGTCCTGGTGAGGGG